TGAGGTGCTAAGGTAGTCTCTCTCTAGGGAGGCCTGGACAAGGCAACATGTCTCCCTGGGAAACCTCTGACCCACCTTCTTTAGATCCGCTAGATTTGGAATTAATCAGGCCCAGGTATACAAGGAAGCTGCTTTTAGTCCTCTACTGTATTTCTGAGGAAAAGTGAGCAGCTCAAGGTAGCTCATCCTCACCTTCTTTCCACTTTTCTAAACAGTGGCTCCCTCATCACCTGCAGCCCCATGTGCCTGGAGATGGAGACCCACAGCCAGAGGTAGAGATACAGCTAGTTTTTCTCCTTTCCCATGCACTTTGCTGCCATTCAACTGTGCCGCGTGTATCAGCGGGCCCATTCCAATGAGCAGCAAAGAGAAGCAGGTACCCAGAGGTGGGAGGAGGAATCCAAATGGGTAGGGTCTGATGGTGACCCCAAGTTGCCTAAAGTTCTATAGGCAACATCTGTGTTCTGTCAGCCAGCAGAGACCCCTAGGTCTGAGCATCGCAGGTTCCCTGCAGAGGGTCTGACCACCTAGTCCTGGGCATAAATTATCTTCTAGTCTTCCTTGGCTCTAAGGGAACCTGGGAACATTGGCCTGAGGACACAACAAGCTGAAGAAGTGAGTTCTTCACTGTGGGAATAACCAAAGCCTCAGGTCACAGAAGCTGAAGATACAGAGCAAAAAGAGCCAGGAGAAAAATCTCCACGGTCCAGGAAAGACAGGAATGTGGAATGATGTGTCATACTGAGGTGCCACCAGCCAGCCCTGCACAGGTCTCTACCCATAGGAGGAAAAGCAGCATCAGCCATAACCTGTGTTCTGAGAATGGTCTATTACAGAGAAACCTTGAGGTGGTCTCCCATCTCCCCAACTCCCTGTTTGTCCAATGGGTTTGGCTTAGCTCCCCCTCCCCATTTGGCTAGCCAGGTCTGCTGCTGCTGACTTAAAAGGCTGCCCTCAATTCTATCTTTAGCTCTGGCTGCTGGGAGCCTGAGTGACAGGCAGGGTGGGGGCTTGTGCTGGGTGGGAAAAATTTGCAGCTCCCAAGTTTGCTGAGAAGGTGGCACTGACTAAAAGGAGTAAGGCCTATGTAATATTCACTGCTGTATCTGTGGTCTGGACAGGAGCAGGTACAGAGGTCTGTGGATGCTGGTTGCATGGGTGAGTGCATGCATGGATGGAGCCAAGACCCTGAGGAATGGATGAAGGCAAAGTCAACTGGTCCAGAGACAAGACATGGGCCCTGAAGGAACACTGCATGATCTTGGGCATGTGAGGCCACCCTAGTTTCCACTTTAGTTTCTTCATTCTCAGATAAGTGATTTTCAGTCTATCTCCATAGACCACATGGCTACCTCTACTAATACCCCCTATCCTTGCACACCACCTCCATAAACAAGGGTGCTGCTGGGCTCGAGGTGGAAGGAAGGAAAGGATTGGACATGGAGGGATTTCCTACCTCTTCCTTCATGGTTGTTAACAATATTAGTTTTTTAAAAAAAAATTATTTATGCTGGGTGCAGTGGTGCATGCCTTTAGTCCCAGCACTTGAGAGGCAGAGGCAAGCAGATCTCTGTGAGTTCAAGGCCAGGCTAGTCTACATAGTGAGTTCCAGGCCAGCTGGACTTATAGGGAGACCCTGTCTCGAAAAGAACAAAAAAATTATTTATTTATTGAAACAGTCTCTAGCCTAGACTGGCCTCAAACTTACTATGTAGCCACAGCTGACCTAGAACTTGTGATCCTTCCTGAAAGCCACCACACTCCACTCCATTCCTGGATGTTGAATTTCTTGAAGAGAATGTCCTTAGATAAGAGTCCTGTAGTAACAGAGTGAGACAACTACTGTACTAAACGTCTGTAAATGATCCCCTACAGTCTGTGGAAATGTTTGGGTCATGAGGCTGTCTCTTCAAGCCACTCTAGAATTAGCATTTTACTAGAGATAGGAATGAAGATTTCTGATTATCTCTTCCTTCTCTGAGAAGGCCCCTCACATGGGAAGAATTCTTAGAACCATGTTGCCTGCAGAATACTTCCATTGGTTTTGGATGTAGAGGTGCAATAACGTTGTCTCAGGCTTTTCTCATTAATGCAATTCCTTTTAGAAGCTTCAATGCCTCCCACCCTGTACCCTCCAGTCTAAGAATTTTGCCTGGGGGCGGGGGATGGAGTCAAGTCCTAAAACTGAGCAAGGGCAGTGCCCCTGCCAGCCACTTTCCCCACTTGCCTGTCTTAGTCAGAAGTCCCAGACTTGGAGCTGGAGAAATGGCTCAGCAGTTAAGAATACTTACTGCTCTTGCAGAGGACCCCAGCTCCATTCCCAGCACCCACATCTAGAACTTACAACTGCTTGTAACTCCAGCTCCAGGGGATCCAGTGCCTCTGGCCTCTGCAAGCACAAATCTTAAAAAAAAAAAAAAATCCCTGAACAAAAACAACAAAAAGCACAGGACCTTTTCAGCCCCAGGTGAGGAACAGCAGTCTGTGAAACTGTCACCCTCTGGTCTCTAGGGAAATGCAGTTCCCCAACTGTATCCAGACTAGGCAGATGAAATTGCCTCTCACAGCAGGTGTCAAGAACAGCCCATCAACTGCCTCTCATCAGGACTGATATGAAAATCCTTTCTCTGAACAATAGAACACAGCAAGCTCCCATCAGTCAGTTGCCTTTTTCCAATAAGAGAATGACCTGCCAAGGCAGGAGAAAGGACTGAGGGGACTCCTTTGCAGGGTAGCGGGGGGGGGGGTACAAAGGGACAGACTAGGGATGACCTGAACCTCCAGCCAGACCTTGGGAGACACCTGTGCTGATGTGGAGCCACAGGAGACTAAAGGCAAAGACTGTTCAGAGGGAAGTACCAGGAGAGGGAAGTACCAGGAGAGGGAAGTACCAGGAGAGGGAAGCAGAGCTAGGATCTACCCCCTCTCTTGCCTACTGTATGGTGGGAAGACCTTCGGGCAAGGCCTTTGTTTGAGGTCCCAAGGAGGGGATCTAATGGCCTAGTTGGTTAGGAAGCTGAATGCCACTTTGGGGTGCCTGAGTAATAAAGTCACTGATAAGTCAGGAAGGCTGTGGGAAGGGAAGCCTGGCCCACCAAACCCCTTCCTTTTGGAATGCTCTGGAAAAGGGATGGCATGAATTGGTACCTTGGAGAAGTTCCTTTATCCATTGTCTCCATTTCTTCCCTCATTTCACTCTGCCTATTGTGCTGGGGTGTTCTAACCAAATTGATTGCCGATATGAAGGTATTTGTTTATTGTTATTTATACAATATCACTGTTTTTTTAAATTTTATTATTTTTATTTTATGTGTATGCATGTAATTGCCTGCATGTAGGTAAGTGCACCTGTGTCATGCAGTGCCTTTGGAGGACAGAAGAGACTGTCATATCCCCTGGATCTGGAGTTATGGACAGTTGTTAGCGGCCATGGGGGTACTGGGATTTGAACCTGGGTCTTCTGCAAGAACAGTCAGTGTTCTTATCCACTGAGCCATCTCTCCAGCCACCGTGTGTGAGTGTTTTACCTGCTTGTATGTAAGTGCACTCATGTTGTGCAATGCCCATGGAAGTCAGAAGAGGGTGTCGGATTCTCCTGGAACTGGAATTACAGATGGTTGTTAGTTACCAGGTGGGTTCTTGGAATTGAACTCCAGTCCTCTGAAAGAGCAGCCAGTGCTCTTAACCGCTGAGCCATCTCTCTAGCCCCATGAAGGTATTTTTAAAGAAAATTTAATATACATTGGCATATTATTTTAAGCATATAAGGTATTTATTTATTTATTGAATTGTTTTGTTTGTTTTTTGAGACAGGGTCTCCTGGAGTAAAGGCTGGCCTGGAATTCAATATATAGCTGAGGATGACTTTGAACTCCTGATCCTCCTGCCTCTACCTCTCAAGTGTTGGGGTTATAGGCATGGGCCACCACACCTGGCTGTTTTTTGGTTTTGAGACAGGATTTTATATAGCCAACATGGTCTTGAACTCCCAATCCTCCTGCCTCTCACATGCTGGGGTTATAGGTATGCACTATCACACCCAGCAAAGTATTTCATTTCAGATATTAAAACTTCTTCCCAAATTGGGAGTGATGATAAATGCCTGTAAATCCCAGTACAAGCAGTCTCCAGTGGGAGGATCAGGAGTTCCAGGCCAGCCTGGGCTATATAACAAGATCCTGTCACAAAACAACTGCACAGGAATTATTCAATGGATAGAGGGCTCTAGTTGGCAGGTGTCTGCCTCTTCTAGGCTCTCTTCCTTCTGCTCTTGTAAACTCCAGTGAAACCCGGGCCATCCCTTCTCCTTTTCCTATGGCCCTCCGTATTTCCTTCTGAGGAGGGAGTTGGGAGGGAGGGTGTTTCCCTCCTACCTGTGTTTTTTTCTTTTTTTCTGTAGTCTATCCTTTGTCTGGTATTGAGCTCCCAAAGAGGTGAAAGTTCCTGTCTGGGCCCTGGACTCCAGCCCATTCCACATGCTGTCTGGGATCATCAGCCTCTTGCTTGGAAATTGATATGTGTTCAGGTGTGCATCTCACACTATGCCTGACTTACTCATCAGGGACCTGCCTACACCACCGCACTGCTCACTGACAGGACTACCGCAAGCTTGGGTCTGACATGGTTTCTCTGTAGACAACAGCTTTCTTCTTCCTCCTGCCTGCAAACTACCCCCGGCCCAACACTTGCAATACCCTCCCTTTCTCTGTACTAAATCAAGTAAATGCCCTTTGAATAATGTGTTAACTATTTCCCCTCCTCCAGGAAACCTTCCCTTCCCCAAATAACCTTGCAGTAGTCTGTCCTCCCTTCACTCTAATACCTTGCATACTGTAACAGGATTGGCCGCTCATTTTATGTGCATGTGTGAGTAGGTGTGAGTTCTTTAAAAAAATTAACATTTATAGCTGGTCATGGTGGCGCACGCCTTTAATCCTAGCACTTGGGAGGCAGAGGCAGGCGGATCTCTGTGAGCTCAAGGCTAGCCTGGTCTACATAGCGAGTTCCAGGCCAGCTGGGGCTACAGGGAAACCCAAACCAAAAAGACCATGTGGTATGTACATGCCACAGAGCACACATTGATGTCAGAGGATAATTACTGCGAGTCCATTTTCTCTTTCTATTACATGGAACTCAAGCAGTCAGACTTGGCAGCAAGTACCTTTACCTGCTGAGCCATCTTTCTGGTCCCTGTCCATGGGTTCTGTTAAGTACTTCAAAGATCATCCTTCCCAGGGGGACCATAACCACTGGTTTCCCTTGGTGAGCTTGGCACAGGCTGTCGACCAGCTGGCAGCCTCATTGTGAATCAAGATGACCAGGTCAGGCGTGGTATCTAGGAAGAAGCCAGGACAGCATCAGATGCAGAGGCTTCTGTGACTTTACCATAGGGAGACTGCTCAGAGCCTTTTCATGGGAGCATGGCCATAAGGTGTTCCCTTCTAACCCTACTCTGCAGCACTCATCCCTCATGAGCAGGGATTGCAGGGGAGCTACAGGCATGGTCACTGTGGCCATGGTCACTGTAGCTTGGATGGCTCAGGCTCTCTGAATTGCTGAGGGGTGTTCTATTTAGGTGCACATATTTGGCTCAGTCCTGGCCTGTTCTGAGGTTTTACATTCAGAAATGTCAAGCACAGAGCACGTTTGCTACTTAGCCCAGTGATTAGGCCCAGAGTAACCTTTAGGTGACTTCCAGCCCAGCAATTTCTTTATTATTCTGTTTGGAAAATGAAAACCCCTCCCTGCCAACAATTAATTTACCAAAATAAACAAGATTTCTGCTTTTCGTGACAAAGACCGTTCCTGAATGCCAATCTTGGGCTGCCAGATTGCAGTTTTAAGTGGGTGCAACCAGAGGACTTGCAGGTGATTTACTGCAGAGGTTTATGAGAAACGGAGAAAACGTGATCAAGAGGGAGTGGAGGAAAGTATTTCCCAGGAGTTCTTGTCTCATCCCTGAGTTCCTGACAAGTCTTTGCGCCCTTGGCTCTCTAACTTCTTTTTTTTCATTGCAAGCAATTCTTGTTCTCACTCTGTCCTATATGGTTTATTTACAATCCTCTCCCCACACCACTCTGCTTCCAAACATCAATATCCAACAGCTTGTTTCTTATTTATTTTTCTCTTTATTTCTTCTTTATTTTTGAGATGGGGTGTCACTCTATAGCTCAGGCTAGACTAGAACTCATTTTGTAGTCCAGGCTGGCCTGACTCATGGCACTCCTCTTGCCTCAGCATCCTCAGAACTGGGATTACAGGCATGAGCCACTATACCTCAAACAGAATATGGAGTGGTGTATTGCCTTCCTTCCTTTCTTCCTTTCCTCCCTCCTTTTATTAAAGGTTTACCTTTATTTTTATTTATCTGTATGTGTAAGCCTGAGTATATGCTATACATGTGCAGGTACCCAAGGAAGCCAGAAAAGGTATCAGATCCCAAGAGTTATAGTTACTGGTAGCCATGAGCCATCTGATATGTTCTGGGAACAGAACTTGGGTCTTCTGGAAGAACAGCAAGTAATCTTAATGGCTGAGCCATCTCTCTAAGCCATTTTGTTTGTTTTTTGAGACAGGGTCTCATGTAGCCCATGTTGACCCAGAACTTGGTACATAGCCAAGGATGACTTTGAACTCCTGATCCTCTTGCCTTCTTCACCTCCCACATGCTGGCATTACAAGTATATGCCACCATTCCCAGCTGCTCTTGTTTGCTTGTGCCCATTGTCATTTTCACCATCCAGGACTCTTAACTTGCTACATTTTGCTTATGGGTCTTGTCCTTTCATCTTAAGAGCTACTTCTAGGGGCTGACTAGATACAAGCTAGCAAGAGTACCCAGGCTGTAAGTTCAGTCTCACTCCTTTGTCCCAGGACACTGGGAATGGGGAATGAATAGTGCACATTGGAAAAGGAGAGGCATATGAGATATAGCTGCTGAGTGCTGGCAAGACTGCGCTCAGGTAGGCAGCACACAGAACAGAGGGCTCGGGGGTGGAGGCCCTGAATGCTACCAGCCTGGGACCATTAGAGATGATGCTGAGGGAGTTAAGAACAGCAACGGTTAAGATTAAGTCTGAGAACATTGTCTCCTTCCTTTCAGCTCCTGCTGGGAACCAGCCTCTGTGATCACAGCTCTATCCTCAGCAGCCTCCTAGGCTTTCTAGTTGGTAAGGTGGATTAGGAGAGGACAGAAAGAACCCCCACCCCGACCCTGCACTTCCAGTCCTCCTCAGACACCTCTTCTTCTAACTCCCTGTTTCCTCTGCCTGCCCTTGGTGACTTTGCAATTTTGGATATCTCAAGATTTTATCTACAGGTATTTTATCTGTTTAGATCCCAGGAATTCCCTGGGCCAGACAGAGAGCCAGCATTGTCATGGTTTTATGAGGCCTAGTGTTAAAACAGACAAGAGTTGCAGCTTCAAGGGCTCATGGTTGCTCCTGGGGTCAAGGTAAACACAGATAACAATAGAAACATGAAGAGAATAATTTCCTTATAGACAACTCAGGAAATTTCATTCTCTCTGTTCTTTCTGCTTTCATCTCACCCTTGTTACCTCCCGGTTATCTCCCCCAGGATTTATCCTGGAATAGTTTGGGTACAACAACTCATGGGGCCTCTTTATCTAGATCATTTCCAGAGAGACAGAAGTGGCCTCGAGTGTCTCTGGAGTGTCTAGGCAGAGGAATCTTGATGAGATCTAATTAACAATTTACAGACTAGACTACAGGCATTGTTTGTGATGGACACCAACACTGAATGCGCAACTACCATGCACACTGGGCATTGTGCTGGGTCTTAGCCAGAGTCTCAAGTGGCACAGAGTAAACAAGTTTTGCTTCTGAAATGCCTGTCCTCTATGCATTTCTGGTGTTGATTTCTAAAACTTCAGTTTACAGAATCCTTTGGAAATATAGTTTGGGGTGTTAAAATTTCTCAGACCCTTTTCTTGAACTACCTGCTTAAGTCAGGCCTTCATATCTTTAAAAAGCTCATCTGGGGTTTTTGGTTTTTGAGACAGCATCTCATGTAACCCAGGATGGCTTTGAACTAGCTATGTAGCCAAGGCTAGACTTCAGCTCTTGATCTTTCTGCCTATACCTCCAAGTACTAGGATTATAGGTATGTGCCACCATGCCCTGTTCATCTGAGTCTTTATTATTATATGAAATCTACATCCTACTCTATATCACTATTGGTTTTTAATATAAAATGAACCTCCTCTTCCCTAACCCCCTGTTCCTCAAAAGTCCAGTTAGAACACTGAAGCAACAGGAGAGTGGGTTAATTCTATCTCGTCTTTCTACCAAGTATTCCTGACACATTAATTTACACCCAAGGGACACAAGTATCTTGAGCATCAGTTACACTTAATGCTTGTTTACTGATTTAAACCCAGAGAGGTGTAAGATAGCAGAGCTCAGCATTCTCCCTCCTCTGCCTGACTGCTAGGGCTGACCTTGCCTGGCAGCCTCTTCCTATGTTAGCCTTCTATTCTTTCAAGCCTCCCAGTCTGAGACATCCTTCCTTTGACTTTCTTTCTTTCTGTTCCTTTCTTAGACAAGGCTCCCTGCTTTGTTCTGCCCTTGTATTATTTTTGGTTAGGGAGACACAACCATTTAAGCCCAAGGTAAACAGTGGCAGAAAAAGGGGGCATCAATGAGTCATTTAAAAAAAATTTATCTTCTCTTGGTGTATGACATGTGCACATATGCATGTGTGTGCACATTTGTGTGTGTGAGCCTATGTAAATGTCTGAGGACAACCTCAGTGTTAGCCTTCACCTTCTACCTTATTTCTAAATTTTTTATTGGTCACTTGCTCTTCAGATTCAAAGTTGTTTGAGACGCTGGGGCCAATGTGATGATCAAAGCAGAAATGTTTCCCACGTTTTGCCAGGCATGATCGCACACACCTGTCATCCCAGCACTTGGAAAGTGAAAGCAGGAGGATTAGGAGTTTAAAGCCATCCTCAGCTATATAGTAAGTTTGAGGCCAGCCTAGGCTACGTGAGACCTTGTCTCAGAAACAACACACAGAGGATAGAGAGATGGCTCAGGGGTTAAGAGTGTGTGCTGCTTTTGCAGAGGACCCAAGTTTAGTTCTCAGCACTCCAGCTCCAGGGATATCTGATACCTATAGCCTCCACTGGCACCTGCACTCATGTGTATATACACACACACACAGACACACACACACACACACACAACACATACACACACACATATACAGATTACATAATTGAGAATAATAAATCATTAAACAGATATATAAAACAAATAGCAACAACAAAAACCCAAAAAGAATAAAAGTTTTCAATAATAAGTTTCTGGAATAATCAATAACTATATAGGTATATGATTTTGAATTGTACCCTGAAGGGAGAGAGTATGGTATTATGAGAATAAATAGCCAAATGCTTGACCTATTCAGGAGAAAAGGTCAGGAAAGGCTTTCCTGAGGCAGAAACATTTCAGCAAAAATGTGGAGGGAAGTGGGAGCTAGTAAAATGAAAGGGTGGGAGGGCAAGGACCCCTGGCAGAGAAACACACATGCAAGAGTCTCACGGCTGGGAAAAAGGACACCGGCCAACATGGGGAGCTGAAAGGAGACCACTGGTTAGAGCATAGCTAGAAAAAGAAGTGAAGGCAGGTTGGAAAGGTGACAACCAGAATTCTATTCTTTGAATAGATAAGTATAGTTGGGTATACGCCAAGTTCCCTAGCCAGGTTGTAACCAAATATGCTTACTGGCGCCACAGTAAATTAAGTAGGAGGGACTTTTAAGTAAAAACAAATTAGCCATGATTAGAATTTCAGTCAAAGGTATACCTACTTTTATAAATATTCTAGCCCAACATGGTGGCACATACCTGAAATCTAGGACTCAAGAGACTGAGGGAGAAGGACTGCTATGAGTTTGAGACTTGGCTGAACTACTTAGTGAGATGCTGTCTGTCTCAAAAAACAACTGGCACTGGGGAGATGGTTCAATCAGGAAAGTGCCTGCCATGCAAGCATGCGGACCTGAGTTCAGATTCTTAACACCAATGTAAAAGCCTTTGTAACCCTAGAAATGGGGAGGGTGGAGATAGGTGGTTCACTGAAGCTCAGTGGCCAGCCATCATAGCCAAATCAATGAGTTCTCCAGGTTTAGTGAGAGACCGTTTCAAAAAATAAGATGAAGAGCAATAAAGGAAGACTCCTGACATTGACTTCTGGCCTCCGCACACGCATGCATGCACACACATACACACCCACCTGCACATGGGCACACAGGCTCCCAGACACATGCATGCACACACTTGCAGACATACACACAAATCCAAAAATCATTAGACAGAGGGCGGGGGCATATTTGTTGAAGGACTGGACAGGGGATAGATGAATAATGATTAAACACAGTATTTTACATGTCTTGTCCTAGCTCTGCTCCAAGCAGAACTCCAACCTGGCTCCTTTTCTCCCAGAACAAATCACCTACAGTGTTCTTCATTCTTGTTACCATGGCATTCGGCACACTTGACTGTCATGGAATTGTCCCACTGTATCCTAGTAATAGTTTGCTACTGGCCTTTCCTCACTAGACACTAAGCTTTTTGAAGGCAAGGCCCCTAACTTGATATTAAAAAAAAAATTTTAAGATTTATTATTTAGGAGGGTGGAGAGATGGCTCAGCGGTTAAGAACACTGACTGTTCTTGCAAAAGACCTGGGTTCAAATCCCAGTACTCACTCGGCACCTAACAATTGTCCCTAAGTCCAGTTCCAGGGGCTTTGACAGCCTCTTCTGTCCTCTGCAAGTATTGCACGACACGGGTGCACTTGCTTACATGCAGGCATAACACTTATACACATAAAATAAAAGTAAAATATTTTGGGGCTGGAGAGATGGCTCAGGGGTTAAGAGCACTGACCTGTCTTGCAGAGGACCCAGGTTCAATTCCCAGCACCTGTATGGCGGCCACGAACCGTCTTAACTCCAGTTCCAGGGGAATCCAAAGCCCTCTTCTGACCTCCGTGGCATTGCACAACATGGGTGCAATACATGCAGGCAATACACTCATATACATAAAATAAAAATAAAATATTTTTAAAAAAAGGAGGTAGGAATTGGCTAGGCAGTTAAGGTAAAAAGACCCCAAGAAAAGTAGCCAGTTTCTTGGCTAAAACTCACAATGTCCTTGGGCCTGCTAGCAACCTACTCTGTTCCAAAGGCCAAAAATGTCCAAAATATTTAGGAGCTTTTATCTAATCCTTAAAAGGCCCATAAAAAAAAAAAAAGAAGAGTACATGAAATTATCAGAAAAAAGTAATGGGGAGATATGGGAGGAGTTGGAGGGGAGGGAGTGGGCATGGATTTGATCAAAACACCTTATACGCATGTATGAAATTCTCAAAAAAAAAAAAAAAAAGATACTTGGATGATTTTGCTATAACCCAGGTAATGTTTGGCCATCTTTAATTTAAAATGGGGTCTGTGAGCATCTATATCAGCATTCCCCCTCAGGACTTCTGCAAGAAGCATGTCACCTCCTAACCCTCCACTTTCCAGTCCTCCCTCATGCTATGCAGCTATTTCCTCAGAAAAGAAGCATTCCCTAGAGGGAAGAGAGGAAGCTCATGAAATTCACAAGGCAGATGCAAGAATTCTTCAGAAAGCTACAAGAGTCATGAGGCACCTACCCAAGGTTATGTGTGCAGTAAATAATTGCTGAAGGAGGAGATGGAGCCGCCTGCAAGTTGTGAGTCACCAATCATGCTGGGTGGGCTTTTCAGGGCCGCAGCTGCCCAAGTGCCCAGTGTTCCTGTTAAGTAACCCTAATAAACTCATTGGTCCCCTAATAAACTCATTGGTTCACTAATGCTGCAAAAAAAGAAAAAAAGATTTATTATTTTTATTTTATGTGTATGGGCGGACTGCCTGCATGTGTGTAAGTGCACTTGTGTTGTGCAGTGTCTGAGGAGGTCAGAAGAGGGTGTCAGATCCCCTGGAACTGGAGTTACAGATGGTTGTTAGTTGCCATGTGGATGCTGGGAATCAAACCCAGGCCTCTAAAAGAGTAGTCAGTGCTCTTAACTGCTGAGCCATCTCTCCAGCTCCAACTTTATCTTTTTTATCTCCAATACCTAGCACAGTTCTTGGCACATAAAAGGTGTATTGGTTTGAAAAACTTCACACTGTTCACAAATTCAGCTAGACTGTACGGTGATCAGGATGACTAAAGGATACAACTGCTGCCCAACAGGTCTATTTATAGCAAAGTATCTAGCCAGCTTGGTGGCCCAAGACTGTAATCCAGCACTGGGGAGGCTAAAGCAGGATTATAAACCCAAGGCCAGCCTGGCTACACAGCAAGTTCTAGGCCAGCCAGGGCAATGTAACAAGACTATCTCTCCAAGTAAAAATAAAAGGCCGAGAATGATAGTGATAGAATGCTTGCCTAGCATATCCAAGGCCCTGAGTTCACTGCTAAAAAATAATCATTTAAAAAAAAATTTACTTAATTACCTATCTGTGAATCTGTGTGTATGCACATGAGTGTTGTTGTTCTCAGAGGTGATAGGTGTCAGATCCTCCAGAAGCTGGAGTTACAGGCAGTTGTGAGCCCCTATCCTGAAATGCACTCAGGTTCTCTGAAAGAACAGCATGTACTCTTAACCACTGAGCCATCTCTCCACCCCCCACCCTAAACCTTCATCCTTAAGGTGATCAAATCTAGGTCCTTGTTTTTCTTATGGTGTTTTCGGATTTCTGTGTGTGTGCCCAACTATCTCATCTAGTCACTAGGACCTAAGCAGGGAAATCTAAGGGACTGTGAGTCCTCAGCACTCCCTTGGTGTTCCTAAATCACACACACACACACACACACACACACACACACACACACACACCTTTTGCTTTTGGTCATACAATACTTCCATGAGGCATTTAGATAAAAGGTTAAGTGATTCACCCAAGGTCACACAGCAAATGAGTCAGCCCTTTTCTCTTACCTTCCACTACTGTATTCCCTAACCCCAGACTTTCCCTATTAGCCACCTTGACAGGGAACGGTTCTCACTTCAGAGCTCTTTGGTTTTGTTCCTGCTGAGCCATGCGTTGGCAAGCCCTGGTGGGAAGATGCAGGGGTTTGCTAGAGGCTGCAGACCTTCAGTATGACAGAGTGGAGGGCGCTGCATAAACCAGATGTGGCCTCTCAGAGACAATCTGATAAAACTTGCAGCTGTGGAGTCAAGCATGGCCATCCCAGTGACCTAGACAAGAAGTAACAGGGAGAAGAGGCTTTGTGAACTGAAGACAGCAGCCAAGAAGGGAGAGGGGCTCAGGGCAGGAAGCCTTTAGGCTAGCAATGAAGCTGTGTTGTCAGTGAGTTCTAGATACTGACAACAGCTGGTTTCCAGAGGATATGAGCCCTCAATCTGCTCTGGAGCTGTCTACCTAGGATAGGGCACTACTGTACCCTTGTTCATGAGAATGAAACCAAGCCAAGTGCTATTCCTCCCTCACTTTTGGAGACAAGGCTGCTATAGGATTAAATGACCATTCAAAACCCAAAGAAGCTGGGGGGCAAAGGGGGTGCACACCATTAAGCCCAGCACTCAGAAGGCAGAGGCAGGTGGGTTTCTGTGAGATCAAGGCCATCCTGGTCTATACAGTAAGTTCCAGGCCAGCTGGGGCTATAGAGAGACCCTGCCTCAAAAACCAAAACCAAAAATAAAAGCCAAAGAAAATGATAGCTCTCCCTATTAAAGAAATTCATACAAATAATTGCTGAGTGTTAGGCACGGTGGTACAATCCCATAATCCCAGCACTTGGAGGTGGAGATGAAGATCATAAATTCTGGGTCATCTTCAGTTACAGAGTTCAAGGACAGCCTCAGCTATATAAGACATAGTCTCAAAAAATAAAATTGCTGACTGCTGAGTTCTAGCATTTACTCAAAGATGAAAGGGCCGACCCTGTGCTCAGGCTGATTATAGTCCAGTAGGAAGGTAAGCTGACACAAAAACATTGTACCTGAAAAAGAATGTGGTTAAGTGTCATCAACAGAGGATTAGAGTCTGGCTTAATGAAGGCAAAGCAGAACCAGGCATCTGGAAGGCCATCCATCTTGAAAGGTACCTGGAATTAAATCTCCAAGATAAATGCATGACAAATGCCCATGATTCTAGGCTGCTTAGGTTTCCATGGCTGCAACCTTCCTTTCTTATCTACGATGATAATACTACTAATGTCATTAGAACTACCCTGAAGGGAGATAGGTGTTCTTATCATTCTGTTTTACAGCTGAGGAAATTGAGACTTTAAGAGTTATCCAAAGTCAATCAGCTGGGAAAGGTTGGAGGGGATATGAAAACTCAACTAAAATAAAAAAATCAAATCTACAAACTACTACTGCTTCCCAAAGTGAAACCCTTCCCTATAGATTCTGGCGGCCATCTGTCTCTCTGGTACCAGGTTTCTAGGCTTTAGAGCTCCTTGGGAGAGACTGTGACCAACAAACTCTAGGCAGAAGGCCAGTGTCCTAGTTTGTTCTTCATTGCTGTGACAAAATACTCTGACCAATACCAACTTGGGGAGGAAAGGGTTTATTCATCTTACATCTCCCAGGTCACAGTTCATCAGGGAGCCCAAGGTAGAAACTCAGGGCAGGAACCTTGAAGCAGGAGCTGGAGCACAGGCCATGAAGGAACACTGCTTACTGACTTGCTCCCCTGGCCTCTCCTCAGCCTGCTTTCTTATGCAACACAGGCCCACCTGCCCAGGGGTAGCACCACCCACAGTGGGCTGGGCCCTCCCACATCACTCATCAAGAAGATGCCCCTCAGACATGGCCACAGGCCAGTCCAATAGAGGCAATTCCCCAATTGTGGCTCCCTCAACCCAGGTGTGTCAAGTTGACACTAAAGCTATCCCACACAGCCAGATTAGGCAAAATAATCAATACCACATATCTTAGAGTTCTGAAGAATTTGGTCAAAGTCCCCTGAACTAAACATATGGAAGATGGTCTTTCAATCAAATGTCTTCTTGGCCTTAGTCTTGGTTCTAAGCCCTTCTGGATTTCTAAGACTTTCCTTATTCTCACAGGTAAGGAATCTATGTCAGTTTGTCCATCATGCTCAAACACCCTCTAGGGTCTCAGTGAACTATATGTAGCTAGTGTCGACAGATGTTGGAGATGACTTAGTCCTCCTTCGATCACTATATTACACAGTTAACAGTGGTTAATGGTGGAGCCACTAGAATGATTTCTCATTGTTCCATCTTGCCACTAAACAGTGACTTGACTCATTTCCCTTGGTTGTGAAACACAAGAATCTTATTACCATTGCACACATACAAAGAAAATCCCTATCAACTCTCTTTTTATACTTTGATCCATCTGGCAGAGGCACAAGGGTACATGGGGTATAGAGAGCAGAGGGATACATTTCTCTAATGCCCAGAACAGACTGCTGCCCCTGGCCTGCCCTTCTGCTTTCTGATCTGGTACACCCAGCAGCTATCTGTCTTGCCTGCCAAGTTCCCTAGTAGTCTGAACCATTGGCAGTCAGAGCTAAGCGGATGCTTTCACCTGCTGGCTGCTTATCTGGGACACATGATTTATGGAGAGGGGCCTGCCAGAGACAGCCAAGACTTTCCCTCTCAGAGGCACTGATACTGCTGGCATGCCAAGTCTGCTCAAGAATCGACCTTACTGCCCATTTGGAACAACAAGCACCTGTGCTCTGGGACAAGAGGCAACGAGCAGACAGGTGGGGAATGCCTTTGGAAAATAGAGGACACTGGAGGACCTGCCAGGCCCTCTCACACATACTATTGCTTATCCTCTTTTGGGACCCTCAGATACCTATGCAACCCAGGTGCCCCGGACTAATGCTTTTTTAGCAACCAAACCCCTGGACTGGAGAACATGGTAGTTCCCATGGTAATGGGCATTTTAGCTGTTTCCATGGTAACCAACACTCAGACCATCTAGTTGCTAGTCAACTGACAGCTGTGAGTGAATTGGATTCAGTTTGCAAGCTGAGGGTTAGGCTCAGGGATCCTCTGGAGAGACAGACACAACCATCCACCCCTCTACAGATTTTTAGTGTACATCTGTGGGTATGAACAGACACTTTCTACCTGTCACAACAGCCCTGTCTCTCCACCGCCTTCCCAACACACACAGGCAAACAATGCAACTGAGCATCCCAGGCCATTTAGCAAGGCACACACTACTCTCTATTCCTAGTTCTGTCTCCATCCCAGAAGGCCCCTGAGAAAAGCACTTATTTAAAGTGACTCTCATACTAATGACTTTTTAAAAATAATATTATTTATGTGTATGAGAGTGAGTGCACCCATGTTGTGCAACGCCCTCGGTCAGAAGAGGTTGATGGATCCCCTGGAACTAGAGTTATAGATGATTGTTAGCTGCCATGTGGGTACGGAATTGAACCTGGGTCCTCTGCAAGAACAACCAATGGTCTTAATGGCTGAGCTATCTCCCCAGCCCCCACACTAATGACAACAGCTCCATGATTTTCCTACGTACCATGACTTTGTCCCCATACTGACTCATTATTGAAGCACTGTTCACTTCCTGGGTTATCTAAAGCAAAGGGTTAATCTTCGTAGTTGACCTCGCCCATTGTAAGTCACTTTAGCTATGCCTGGGGATGTTCTCAGAGTCAAGTCTACTTTATCAATCTTTGTGAAACTTAATCAGTACCACTCTTTTCCTTTCCCTTCCTTCCTTTCTAGCCCAGGCTAGCCTTGAAGTTATGTAGCCAAGGATGACCTTAAACTTCTGATCCTTCTGCCTCTATCTCCTAAGTGCTAGGATTATAGGCCTATGCCACCATGCTTGGTTTATTATTGTGTTGTTTTGCAGGAGCATGCCATCGTCCTTGTGTGTGGGGTTAAAGACAAACTTGGGTACCAGTGTTCGCCTTCCATCTTGAGATAGGATCTTGTCTGTAACTGTATACACCAGGCTAGATGGCCTCTGCGTTTCTGGGGACTCTCCTGTTTCTGCCACCCATTTCACCATAGTAGTGCTAGATTATAGATGCATGCTCTCACATTCAGCTTTTAAAAAATACTTTATTTTGTGCATATGAGTGTTTTGCCTGCATATATCTAAGTTCAGTGCCCATCTGTTCAGTGCTCATGGTGGGCAGAAGAGGAAGTCGGTTCCTGACAGAACTGGAGTTAACAATTGTCAGCTGCTATCTGGGTGCCAGGCACTGAACCCAGGACCTCTGCAAGAGCTCTTTTTAAAAAATACTTTATGTGTATGAGTATACTGCCTGCATTTAAGTGCACCTAGGTCTTGAGATGCCCAAAGAGGACAGAAGAGGGCATCAGGATCTCCTGGAACTAGAGTTACAGATGGTTAACTGCCATGTGGGTGATAGGAACTGAACCCAGGTCCTCTGTTAAGAACAGCCAGTGCTCTTAACTGCTGAGCCATCTCTCTCTAGCCCCAGGTGGTCTCTTTTTTGAGACAAGTTCTCACCATGTAGCCTTAGCTGGCCTGGAACTTGCTATGTAGACCAGGCTTGCCTCAAATTCAGAGATCCACCTACCTCTGATTCCTAAGTTCTGGGATCAAAGGCATGTAGCAAGTGCTCTTAAATGCTGAGCCATCTCTCTAGTCCCAGCTTGAGAGGCAAGGACTTTACCCCCAGAGACCAGCCCCTCCCCCCCTTAAATTTAAAACCAAGTACAGAGGATTTGAAAATTACTCTACCCTTTTTTATTAGTATCTAGAAGCCTTAATATTTATCTGCTTTGGGTTTATGTAAGGGAAGAGTTGGGTCTAAGACTCAAGGGTTGCTCAGAAAAGTGAGAGACTAGTAGTGGAAAGAGCAGGACCCTTTGTATACCTAGGATTCAATGCTTCTCCGTGTTAATGACTGTGAACTTTCTGTGTAAGATGACCTTTCAAACTAATCCCCTCACAGGAACCCTGCCTATCTCAAAGCTGCAGGCTTCACTGAGCCTCCTGGTGGCTGGTAGGTAAACAGTTCTAAGCTGTTGGGCAACCCTTATGTTCTGAAAAAAAGGACATATACTAGCTGAGCTGCATTTTTTTTTTTTTCTTCTTCTTCTTCTTTCTTTTCAATGCAGGGTTGGTAACTGTCAGCTTAAGGAGCCAAAAATCAAGAATAATTTTTTGGGAATAGGGAGCCAGCACTTATGAGAACTGAGTTTTTCCAGCCCCCTCAAAAAGTTCCTGCACAAAACCCATAGCTTTATCGACTGAGGAGGTATGTTAGTGCACACCAGATTGAATCCCTGATTTCCCTGCTATTTCTAGACAAAGAAGTATCTCAGCATAATAGCTAGCATTGACAAGAGTATATATTACATGCCATGGGTCATCTAAGTGTTTTACATGCCTCATTTCACTTAATACCCACAGTACTATTATTGCTCCTGATCAACGGATAAGGAAACAAACAAGCAGAGAGACATGATTTAAAGCTCACATTGGCAACTAATTAATTGGGGGAGCCAGGATCCAACCACAGGCAGTTGGAAGCCAGCAACCTCAACAGGTAGCCACTTTTGGAATTCACATGATTCTGAAACATAGTGTCTACTTGGGAAGATAGAGTGGGCTCGATGTGATAGGATACACAGAGGATCTTAGTTAAATAGTATATGAATGGCTGCCAGCACCAAGTAGCAAAGCTTGGCTTCATTTCTGACCCATTGCTGTCCCCTGGTGGTTTTCCCAGGAAACTCACAAGCCTAAGAAACAAGGGTCTAAGGAAATTATTGGCATGAAAATGGACCAAATGAATTATTTGTTCATAAAGTGTTAGGTCTCACCTGATAAAAAAAAAAGTTTCTTCCTTTTTGCCCAACCTAACATTCCAACCAATGTCAATACTCAACTCAATTACTTTAAAAATTTTTTGAGACAAGGTCTCACATAACCAAGGCTGGCCTTGAAGTCGCTACACAGCCAAAATTGACCTTTAATTGATCCTCCAGCTTTCACTTCCCAAGTGCTAGGAGGGATTACAGTTATGTGCCACCATGCTGGGCTTCTTAAATTCAATTATGATAGGTTATAAACCCTTTGTCACATAAAAGCTAATTAAAACATACGAATTCTACTGGGCATAGGGGCACATGCCTGTAATCTCAGCACTTGGAGGTAGAGGTAAGCTCAGAAGCTCAAGTTCAAGGCCAGTCTGATGCATCAGACCCTTTCTCCAAAAAAAAAAAAAAAAAAAAAAAGCCAGACATGGTGGTATATGCCTTTAATGCTAGCACTCAGGAGGCAGAGGCATGTGGCTCTCTGAGTTCAAAGCCAGCCTTGGTTGCATGATCTGAAGAAGAGTGAAGCATAGTCCCTGGGAAATCATCTGCTATAATGGGGAAGCCCTAGATGGGAAAGATAAAAAGAGAAGTTGGACTAGGTGGGTGGCACAAATCTATATCTAAATAGCAAGTTCTAGGTCCACCAGGGCTATATAATGAGCTCCTGTTAAAACCAACCAACCAACCAACTCCACCCCAAACCAAACAAACAAGAAACCAGTAAAATAAAAAAGCACATGGATTCCAAGCAGCAAACTGTACGCCATGTCCATATTTGCCACTTCAAGATTTAATTATTACTTACTACAATGTTTCTTTGAGACAGGGTCTCATTTAGCTCACGCTGGCCTTAAACTCACTATGTAGTTCTCAAACTTGCACCAATAGATCTGTCTCTGCCTCCTAGTGATACAATTATAGATTGTAAGCCACCAAGTCTAGTTTTTTTTTTTTTTTTTGGAGGGGAGGGACTCAGTATATAGCTCAGGTTGGTCTGAACTCATAACCCTTGTGCCTCCCGAGGGCTGGGCTTATTTCTTTCTTGATTTGACAGCGTCTCAGTATGTAGCTCAGGTGGGCTTAGAACTCATGACCCTCCTGCCTCCTTCTCAGGGATAGGATTACAGGTATGTGCCACTAAACTAGTCCAACTTTTTTTTAACCTTTCCATTGCTAGGCTTCCCCAGCAGAGCAGATGATTTCCTGGAGACCACTATGCTTTCACTGAATCAAGCATACTTAGTGGTGTGAGATTGTATGAAGTAAAGCAGATCAAGGTCACTTTTTACGAACAGATAAAGTCTAACTGGGGAAAAAATGAGGAAAAAGGCGGTTTCTGAAAGTCATGTCTTCTCTGGAGCCATGAAATGGGTTGCCTGGCTGCCATGGATCTAAGCAAACATACTATCTCAAAGATAGCCCAAATACAAAAGGCAAGAATGGCAATTTATTTATTCAAAAGCTCATTTTCAAGTGCGCAAAGATACAAGTTAATATTGCTAAAATAAACAAACATCTATTAGCCAAGTATTATCTTTAATGAAAATGACTTAAGAAACAAGAGCTAACCACAGAAAACCAGCCACCCAGAACTGAATTTCTGCTGTAAAAGATCTCTCTCCAACCAATCTCTGGATACAGTGGAGAGCAAATCACTACTGTTGAAGCAGTCGGCCAGAGGTGCTCAGTAGGCTTGGTAGCCAGGTTCACAGGTCTCAGGGAGGCACTTAAAGATGAGGAAACTGTAGAAATAACATCCCCATCTAGAGAGAAGTCTCTTGGAAGCCATCCTTCATAGTGAGGACCAATAGCCTGGGGTCAAGTTATCTGACATCCCAAGCAATCCTCCTCCCCATTCTGTCTTGTGGGATCTCCCTTAATCCAACAGCAAACAATGGAAACTATTAAACTATTCCTACAGTCTCCCCCACCCCAACCTGCCATTTTTTTTTTTAAAGACAGGATTTTATTATATAGTTCTGCCTGATCTGGAACTATGTAGACCAGGCTGGCATCGAATTCAGAGATCCGCCTGCCTCTGCCTCCAGAATGCTGGAATTAAAGGTGTATGCCACCACACCCAGCTTTCTTGACTAAGGATATCACAAAGGCAACAGCTCTGAGCTCTCAAGAAGTAGGGTCATAGACACTATAGGACAAATAAAACAGTCTTGGAATTCTTTTCATCTTATGGTACTGATTCAATTTCAGGTATGATTTCTCTTCCATTTCCTTGCCCACCTCCATCCATAGACTTTCACCCCCACATAGACATAAGGGCATCAAAGAGCTTAGCTTTTGATCTCTACTGGGATTCTCCAGCAGAAGAGATTTTTATTTTTATCATCCTCAAGTTTCCACTCCACCACCAGCTTTATCTGAAGAAAGAAAAAGAATTGGGAAAAATTAAAACTTGAATCTATCCATAATTGGCTTAACTGTATACCCTAATTCCTAATTTTGTCTTTTTAAGTCATGTCACCATGAAACCTCTTAGGATATGGGTACCTTCTGTGGCTTTAAACTTAGAAGAATGAACCAAGTTATGCCTACGTACGGTGTTAACAATAGCACATACAACTTAATCTAATTTATCAAATGTAAATTTTTTTTTTTTTTTTTTTTTTTTTTTGGTCCTTTTGAGACAGGGTCTCCTTGTAGCCCCAGCTGTCCTGGAACTCACTATGTAGACCAGGCTGGCCTTGAACTCACAAAGATCTGCCTGCCTCTGCCTCCCAAGTGCTGGGATTAAAGGCATGTGCCACCACGCCCAGTCCTTCAAATGTAATTTTTACCAAGTGTAATCTTTCTTCTTCTGAGTGCTGGGATTACAGGTATGGCCACCATACCTGGTTATCAAATATAATTCTAAAGTTCTTTTTTTCTCCCTTTGTTCCTTCCTTCCTTTTCTGAGACAAGAGTTTTGTTATGTAGCTCCAGCTGGCCTAAATTTACTATGTAGCTTAAGGCTGGCCTCAAACTCTTGGTCCTCCTGTTTCGGGTCTCCCAAGTGCTGGGATTAAAGGTGTCTATCACCACACTGGGTTTTTCTTTTTCTAATTTTTATTTTATGTGTATGAGTGTTTTGCCTGCATATATGTAAGTGCACTACATGCATGCACAGCCCAAAGAAACCAGAAGAGAGTCAGATCCCCTGGAACTGGAGTTATAGACAGTTGTTATCTGCCATGTGGGTGCTGGGAACCAAATATGGGTCCTCTGCAAGAGCAGTGCTCTTAACTGCTGAGTCATCTCTCCAGCCCCCATACTGGGTTTCTAAAGTATGTTTTTTCCTTCTTAGATCAGTGGCATATAAATAAAATCTTACAGTAATAATTTTTTTTGCGAAAGGGTCCCACTGTGTCCTCTGCAAGAACAGTCAGTGCTCTTAACCATCTCTCCAGCCCCAAGAATACTCATTTTTAACAACTCCTCACACATTTGGCAACTGTGACAGCTGTTTCTACCTGTAACCACAAGAAGCAGAAGGTGAACCACTTAGATTCTCAGGTATAAAGAAACTTCAGCATTAGTTAGAAATGGAAATGCCAAAGCACAAACCATGATCCAAAGAAATTTGCACCTGGATAATTGCAAGGACAACCATCACTGTAACAACGTAGAGTTAACTGCTTTAAACTGTTTCTCCTTCCCTTCTTTCTCCTCCTCTCCCTTTCTTTTCTCTTTCTTGTTTTCATTTAGTAAAGACAGGTTCTGACACTGTAGCCCAAACTGGCCTGGAATTCACAGCAATCCTTCTGCCTCACCTTCCAAGTGCTAGGAATGTAGCAAGAGCTAGGAATGATTTGCTACATTCAAAGTAAGAGCTATCTTTTTGTTGTTTGTTTCTTGGGATAGGGACTCACTTCTGTAGCCCACCCTGGTCTGGGCTACATTAGATAGCTCAGGCTGGCCCCCAATTCATGGGAATCCTCCTGCATCAGCCTTTTAAATGCTGAGAGTATAAGCAGTTTTCCTTTCTATTTTTTTTTTTTTGGTCTTTGAGACAGGGTCTCCCTGTAGTCCCAGCTGGCCTGGAACTCTATGTAGACCAGGCTGGCCTCGAACTCAGATCTCCCTACCTCTGCCTCCACAGTGCTGGGATTAAAAGCATGGGCACCACACCAGCCTGAAATGCCTCTCTGAATACAACCAAGGAACTATAGAAGAAGTAATATTGTATTAGTTTCTAGGTCCAGGATACTTGTACTTTTCAATTTCTGAGTCTTCTTGAAACCTGGAACTGCTCTGTGAAAGATACACCTATTACCCGTCTGTACAGATAAACAGAGAGCTCCAAGCTGGAGAAAGTGAAAGGCCCATTTCTGTTCAAGCCTCTGTAGAGACCGGGTCTCCCTATAGTACCAGCTGTCCTAGAACTCACTATGTAGACCATGCTGGCCTCAAACTCACAAAGATCCACCTGCCTCGGCCTCCCAAGTGCTGGGATTAACCCTTTCTAATTCTTAATCACAGACATTAATGTGTCTTTAGTTACTACCTCTTTTGTATTCAATGTTTCTTCAAAATTTAATACTTGAGTGACTCTTGAAACGCTTTGCTGTCAAGACTTGTATATATTACTGCTTTACTTAGCATTTAGACTAACACAGTTTGGGCTGTTTTTCAAACTAAATGCAACTGATTAAAGAATGGTAACTACTATATACATTAAATACCTACTCTGAATCACATCCTAATAGATAACTGATATTGTGAACTACCCATGATTATGCACAGACTCTGCTAATTCATCTACAAATCTGTCACTGACTGACCTTAAGAGTCTCTAACAACTTTTAAGCAGACTATTTAGTCTTCTTAGAATGTCTGTTAACCACTTTTTTTTTAGAAAATGGCCAGATTGTCCCTGGGTTCTACTTGCTTCCTTTAAAAAAAAAAAAAAGTAGCTACTGCCAGGCATAGTGGTACATGCCTATGACCCTAACACTTAGGAGGCTGAGGCAGGAGAGTTTAAAGCCAACCAACCTGGGCTACAGAGTAAGACCCTGTCTCAAAACAAGTCACAAGCAACCTCAAAACAACAAAGCAGCTCTTTTTCTTTATGGAAAAAAGCAATCTCCCTCCTCCATTTTTATCATGATTTATATCTTTTTAAAAATATATTTATTATTTTTATTTTATGTGTATGAGTGTATTGCCTGCATGTATGTGAATGCGGTCCTCTGCAAGAGCAGTCAGTGCTCTTAATGGCTGAGCCATCTCTCCAGCCCCTTTGGTCTTTTTTTTTTTTGAGACAGGGCCCCCTGTAGATCCAGCTGGCCTGGAACTCACTATGTAGACCAGGCTGGCCTTGAACTCACAGAGATCCGCCTGCTTCTGCCTCCCAAGTGCTGGGATTAATGGCGTGAGCCACCATGCCCAGCTCATGATTTAGATCTTTAATATAGGACCACTCCAATACCACCTACTCTTTTTAATTTTAAAAATTATTGTGTGAGAGTATGTGAGCACTCACATACCATGGGCCACTTGTGTAGGTCAAAGGAAAACTTTGGGAAATCAGCTCTTTCCTTCCACTATGTACATCCTGGGTTATCAAACCCAGCTCATCAGGCTTGGTGACAGATGCCTTAATCAACTGATCCATCTCACTGGCCCCTCTTTCCACCATACCGGTCCTGGGACTGAACTCAGGTTGTCAGGCTTGGTGGCAAGTACCTTAATCCAATGAGCCATCTTGCCAGCTCAAGAAAGTACTTTTATTTTTTTGGTCTTTTTGAGAAAGGGTCTCCCTGTAGCCCCAGCTGTCCTGGAACTCACTATGTATACCAAGCTGGCCTTGAACTCAGAGATCCGCCTGCCTCTGCCTCCCAAGTGCTGGGATCAAAGGCGTACGCCACCACGCCCAGCCTCAGGAAAGTATTTTAAATAAGTGCATTAGTTTTGCAGTATTTATTCACCTGCACTTAAGTGCCTGGCAAAGAAGGAAATAAAGCAGTACTAACATAAAGCAGGGGCTGGTGGGGTACAAGGGACCATGGAGCCAATGTTACTCTTTGTTACAGAGCTAACAAACTCCTCTCTTTTTTTAAATATTTTATTTATTATTTTTATTTTATGTGTATGAGTATATTGCCTGCACGTAGGTAAGTACGCCTGTGTCATGCTATGCCTGCAGAGGACAGGAGAGGCCATTGGATCCCCCTGGAACTGGAGTTAACAGGAAGCTGTTAGCTGCCATGTGGGTGCTGGGATTTGAACCTGGGTCTTCTGTAAGAACAACCAGTGTTTTCAGCTGCTGAGCCATCTCTCCAGCCCCAAACTCCTCCTCTCTTAAGAGCATGATAGAGAAACCAGATTTTTTTCTTTTTAAAAAAATTGTTTTTTTCTTTAAAACCTGGATTTTTCTAATGATGCTAGATAACCTAGACCTTAAATTATTTGCCCTAGTCTCTGCTTCCTACTACTAGTCTTCCAGGTTTCTGACCTACCCCAGGGCCTATAATTTCCTCAACAGCAGTGTCACTTACAGAGGGGTATTCATTCTTCACCGGCAGTTTATTCAGGTAGCTATAGGTCTTATCTTTCTGGATGGGGCAGTTGATTCCACACTTACAACCATCAGGCTCAGGAATAGGAAAGAAGACTGGGACACCTGCCAGGATGCCATGAACCTGAGCTGTGCTATTTTCAGATTGAGTGCCTAGGGGAAAAAAAAAGAATCAGATGGTGAAGAAAATAATTCTAAGTCAAGTCTTCAATATATTCTCAAATACAAGTATGGCTATACCAGCAAATCAGAAAGCCTATAGCTCTTAATTCTATCATTTGCTTTGTGCTGTCATGTTTGGTACTTAGCCTTAATGGAGAGGAGCTGGTTTCTCTGATCCTAGCTCTTCCTTGCTCTCTACCATCTTTCATAGTTTCGCAGAGCTACCTATATAAATAACCTTATCTAACAGGGCCACTGACTGACTTTTGGTGGTAAACTTTTTGTTTACTGTTTACAATGATGTCTGTCAGAGTGTATTACGTAGTTTGAGTATAAAGATTTTGCATAGCAGTGAAAGAGGTAATTCTTTTAGACACTGTGTAAGATTTAAAAGACATTCATTTCCTGGTACCCTAGCCTCCATACTGCAAGACAGGAAGGAAGGAAAGCATAGGATGAGGGCAAGCAGACTTACTGTAACTGTTCTAGCAGGAGCAAACAGGGACACTTGTGCCCCTCCCTTTGGCTATCAGACTATTGAAACAATGGACCCCAAGGAATTGGAATTTCCCCAGTAATGCCATTCTAGAAGAAGGAAAAAGTGGAAGCACTGGTGCCAGCAAAAAGAAGTTACCCTCAAGAAGGCTTCACAGGGTTCTGACATCTTGGAGGTCAGGCCAGGAACTGAGATACTGGTATACCACCACTTTGACCAAGAATGTATACCTCTTGCCTTCTGTTTATTGGCTATGTTTCATTCTTTTCTTCTTTTTATTTTTATTTTATGTGTATTTTATGTGTATGAGCGCATGTAGGTAAGTGTACCTATGCATGCAATGCCCATGGAGGCCAGGAGAGAGCATCAGATCCCCTGGAACTGGAGTTAGACAGTTGTTAGCTGCCATGTGGGTGCTGGGAACTGAACCCAGGTCCTCTGCAAGAGCAGCCAGTGCTCTTCAACTACTGAGCCATCTCTCCAGCCCCTTCTTTGAACTTTTACATTTTAAATTGAAAAAAATTATCTATTTATTGTGTGAGTGTGGGGGGCGGTGCAAGTGTGCCATGGTACATGGGTGGAGATCAGAGGACAACTTATGGGAGTCAGCTCTCTCCTTCCATCATGTAGATGCTGGGGATCAAGTTCAGGTTGTCAAGCTTGGTGGCAGGTATCTTTACCTGCTGAGTCCCTTAACAGCACTTCAACATTATGATCAGACCATATTTATCAATCAACAGCATGGGTAAAAAAGAGTCTACATTAAAATGCTGTGTTGGAGTGCTTTATACTTTCCACAGAATAGAAACTAAAATACCTGCCATAAATACACGTAGTCACAAATTCAGTCCTTGAGTTCTTCTGCCCATATACATGAGTACTGCCTAAAACATGTCTTCTTTGTAGCAGCTAGCCCTGTCAGCACTGTGCTTGGGTGAGTTCATGCTCTTTTGTAACCTGTGGCTTCCTGGTCACTCCTCTGGCACTCTTCTCCTGCTAAGCTGTGTTTCCTGGCAATAATACTGCCATTGCTACTACCACTGCTGGAACCCCCATAGCCGCCTTAGTTTCCTGGTTTAGCAAAGTATTGGCCTCTACCACCATAGGGGCCAGAGCTTCTGCTTCCAGTTTCTTCTCTTCATAGAAGGTCCAAAATATGAAGATCGATCATTGTCATTGCCAAAATCAATGTAGCTTCCACCACCTCCAAAACTGCTTCCATCATTGCCAAATCCATTACACTCATCCCCACTGCCACCACACGCACTACCATCACAGCTGCCACCAAAGCCATCATGACCACTTGAAGTTTCCTTCATGACCAAAATTGTCACTGTCACCAAAACCACCTCCTCAACCATGACCAGAGTTTCCAGAACCACTTGGGCCTCTTTGACTACATGAAGTTCTTCAACAGGCTTTTCTTACATCACAGTTGTGGTCATTCACAGTATGGTATTACTGAATGACAATCTCATCCACAGAGTCACTGTCATCAAAGGTGACAAAAGCAAAGCTCCTCTTTTTTCTACTGCCCCTGTCAGTCATGATTTCAATCACTTCAATTTTTCCATGCTATTCAAAATCTTCTCATAGGTGATCTTCAGTATCTTCTTTAGTACCAACAAAGATCTTTTTCACAATTAAATGGGCACCTGGTCTTTGAGAATTTTCTCTTGACACAGCTCTTTGGTTCCACAACTCTTCTGTCTACCTTGTGTGGTCTTACATTCGTGGCTGCATCCACCTCCTCTACAGTGGCACAATTGGCAAACACAAAGCCCCGGAGTCCTTGGTATTTGGATCTCTCATTACCACTCAGTTTGTGAGTATTTCCCATTGCTCAAAAAATGGCTCCTCAGATGCTCACTGGACTCTTCATGAAGAGCTCCCACAGCTGTTCAAGTTCCTTAGGAGACTGACTTAGACATGGCAGGTGGAATGAAAACCTTCAGTGATGCTTCCTTGCCTGTCATCAGACAGAAAGCAGCACTTAAATTTTTTTGTGTGAATACATGTGTGCGTGTTTGTGGGGGGGATGTGCACGTGTGTGCAAGTGAGCACAGAGGCCAGAGGTCAATCTCAGGTCTTTCCTTAGGATCCCTTCCACCTTGTTTTTTTGAGACGAGGTCTCTTACTGGCTTGGAACTCATGGATTCAGCAACGCTGGCTGGCCAATGAGCCCCAGGGATCTGCCTGTGTCTGCCTCTGCAGTGCTGGAATTACAAGACTACTGCCATATAATTAGTACCACCATAATGCCTACTTTTTCATGTGGATTTTGGGGATCCAGCTCAGGTCCTCATGCTTGCATGATAAGCACTTTACTGACTGAGCTACTGCCTTAGCCCTCAAAACTTTTTTTTAAAACAGGCGCATGCCTTTAATCCCAGCACTTGGGAGGCAGAGGCAGGTGGAGCTCTGTGAGTTCAAGGCCAGCCTGGTCTATATAGTTGAGTTCCAGGACAGCTGGGGCTACAGGGAGACCCTGTCTCAAAAAGACCACCCCCCCCCAAACCAGGGGTCCTATTATTTAGCCTAAGCTAGCCTTGAATTCCTCGTGCTTCAGCCTCAGAGTGTTGCATTTATAGGAATGAGCTACCTACCACACCTGGCTGTTTTTGTTTCCTTCTTTCTGTCTAGGCTGACATGACTTCACTTAAGAGAGAGAGAGAGAGAGAGAGAGAGAGAGAGAGAGAGAGAATGCACGCACATGCATGTGGGTTCTAGTGGAGGCCAGAAGAGGGTGTTGGGTCTCCTGGAGTTGAAGTTACAGGTGGTTGTGAGCCACCCAAAGGGTGCTATGAGCCAAACTCAGGTCCTCTGCATAAGCAGCAAATACTCTAAACTGCTGAGCCATCTCCCAGCCCTTGCTTTTTAAAAATTTTATTTTCGGTGTACATGTGGGTATGTGGGTGTGTACATGTCACGGTGCTCAAGGGGAGGCCAGAAGACAACCTGTAGGAGTTGGTTCTCTCCTTCAGCCATGTGGATTCTGAGGACAAAGTCCTCAGGCCTGGTGGCAAGTACCTTTACCCGCTGAGCCATTTCACTGCCGCTTTCACCCTCCCTTTTTCTCTTTTGAGACAAGGTCTCTCTGTGTAGCCTTAGCTGGCCAGGAATTTACTATGTTCAAGGCTGGCCTTGAACTTCCTATGATTCTTTTGCTTCAGCCTGGCTTGAATGAACATTATGGAGGCGTTCTGAAATTTGTAGAACTGGAATTTGTAGTAACACTTCCAGTCTATAGTCAGAGCTGATATTTCCTTAAGAATCTACAATGCATTATAGGCCAAAACAGCCAAGCTGTCTTCTCTAACATTTGGTCACAGAGGAATCATGCTGCTTGCTTAAAAGGAGTCTGGCAGATACAGGAGAGACATATGGGAGCCCAGTAGGTGAGGGTTGTCTGAGGGCATAGCTGTAACAGTATAGCTCAAGGCCTTAGGGGTTCCTTGCTGAGATATAGCACACTGAAGCCCTGGCCATAGAGAAGAGTGTTCATGCAGCTCTGACAGCTAAATCTGCCCATTTTCTGACTTTCGCTTCGTCAGTTGTAAAACTGCTACAGGAAAGCTAGAGAAAAATTAAGAGTTTTTTCTCCCTAGTTCTAGCCAGAATGGTAAATTAAATCTATCTTTCAGCATCTAGCCCCCCAGGCTTTCGTTTAGAATGTGGCAAGTAATGGACCTCACATAGGGACCTCATTGTCTGGAAATATAGTGAATTCTAGTTCTGTGCAAGTCAGAAAGGAGGTTGCACAGTTCCTGACTGCCAAGCCGTGGTGACTTACATTCCAATACCAGACATTTATGCTACATCTCAGCGTGAACGGGAGGGAAAAGCCAAGTTTACTCACTGCTGGTGAAGGTAACATTGACACTATAGGACTGTCCTTTGTGTAGTGCACAGGGCTGGGTAGAGCAGGGGCTCACGTTCACCTCCTTTATCACTCCAACCATAGAGCCTGCAAAAAAAGAGAAATGGGTTGGAATAGGAGGAAAAATATACCACTGAGGCTGTCCACTACCTAATGGGAAGGTGTGCTCCTCTCCCAGTCAGGGGGTACTCATTTCTCTTCTGACTGCTTTCCCAAGATGGATTCTTGATTTAACATTATGAACTCTTCTTCCTCAATGTTCATTCAAGCAGACTGAGGCAAAAGCATTACAGTAAATTCAAGGCCAATTTTGTATACCCAGTAAATTCCAGTTATACAATTAAAAGTGAGAATCTGGGCCTGGGTAGATGGCTTAATTGGTAAAATACTTGCTGCACCAGTGTGAGGACCGGAGTTTGAATCCCAAGAACCACTGTAAAGCTGGGTGCAGCAGCACACATTTGTAAGCCCAGTATTCCTACAGCAAGAATGGAGGTGAAGACTGGAGAACCCTGAAAGCCTGTAGGACAGCCAGCCTGGAGTCCGTAGCCAGTGCAGTGGCAAACAAAAAGATCTGGTTCAAACAAGGTGGAAGGCGAGATACCTGAAGTTGTCCTCTGACCTCATGTGCATACATGCACACACCACACACACACACACACACACACAAAGTGAGAATCTTGGTTCAACTTACTGCTAAAATCATACCATATAAATTGAATAAGAAAGGAGCTAGTTAGTTTCTTGGCAAAGAGAATTCTAGTATTTGACAAATTAAGGAATGTAGTAGAGTGAACAGAGACTCGAAAGGAGCGGAGGATCTGAGACTCATGGTCCGAAGATGCAGATCCTTCAGTTCTGAGCTTTTATTCCGTACTAAAATAATGGATGAAAAAAAAATAGATGAGTTGAGTTTACAGGAAATACTGTTCCAAGAACACGTAAGACATACAGTAACAAGTTAAGGAATGCAATGTATAGTTGTTATCAGACAAAGCAACCTCTAAACTAAACTAATGTGTTTAGTCAGAAACATCTGCTTGTCTGCTTCCTGGAATTGTTTCAGCCCAACCAGAGTTTTCAGGAACTTAAGAACACATTTTGCCCCAGAGGTTTGCCTTCTGGGTACACTGCTTGCAGTGATCACATAGTTCTTTTGTCCTTCATCGAACATTAACTCTGGAAGTATGCCATAAGCCATCAAGCCATAAGATGTATTAACTCTTCATGAAGCAGCTTGCTACAAAGAAATACAGGGAGACCATGTCCACATAACATTATATTAAAAGGATTAAATTATAACCAAGCAAATAAAATGCTCCTTGCTTTTATTCTTTTTCCTTTTCTTTTTTGTTATTTGGTGCTGGGAACTGAACTCATGGAGCCTCACATCTTGCTTTGCATTTCTTTAAAAATTTTTTTATTTATGGGTCTGGAGAGAAGGCTCAGCAGTTAAAAGCATGGCTGTTCTTGCAGAGGACCCAGGTTTGATTCCCAGCACCCACATGGTAGCTAACAATCATAAGTAACTCCAGTTCCAGGGGAACCTGATGCCCTCTTCTGACCTCCACAGGCATTGGATAACTTGGGTGCACTTATACACATGCAGGCAATACACTCATACACATAAAATGCAGAAGCAGGTGCGAGATTGAGGCCATCCTGGTTCACACTGTGACTTCCAGGTGGGCTGCGACTATGAAGACTCTGTCAAAAAACAATGAGCATAAAACAAAACAAAAAAAATATTTTTGTTGGGCTGGAGAGATGGCTCAGCAGTTAAGAGCACTGGCTACTCTTGCAGAAGACCCAGGTTCAAATCTCAGCACCCACATGATGGCTAACAACTGTCCATAACTCCAATTCCAGGGAATCCAACACCCTCTTCTGTCTTCTGTGGGCACTGAATGACAAAGGTGCACTTACATACATGCAGGTATAACACTCATATGCACAAATTTTTTTTTTTTTTTATCTTTTTTGAGACAGGGTCTCCCTGTAGCCCCAGCTGTCCTGGAACTCATTATGGAGACCAGGCTGGCCTTGAACTCAGAGATCCGCCTGCCTCTGCTTCCCGAGTGCTGGGATTAAAGGCACCACACCCGGCATTAAAAACATTTTAAAAATTAATTTATATTGCATGTATGTGTATGGGTGGGAGGGGTGTGTGTGTGTGTGTGTGTGTAGTTTATGGTGGTTAGTTCTCTCCTCCCACCTAGGGATCAAACTCAGATCATCAGGCTTGGTAGTAAGCACCTTTATACACTGAGTCATCTAGCAGACCTTTGTCTTACATTTTAAGGTAGACATACAGTTTTAATTTAAGCCCTGAACATGTTTGTCTAGATCTTTTTAATTAAAATATCAGTTTCTCCTTTCATTTTGTAGCAAAGAGATAAGCATGTAAATGTGATAGTGACTATGAAATATACTGTATTATGTGCAAAAATAGCTAGACACCAGGTGCCTGAAACTCCAAGGAGGAAGGTCAGAAATGTCATCTTTTCACCCCAAGTTCTCTAAGAGCAGCCTTGGCTTTAAGGAATTATTTTGTTTGAAAGTACCAGAACTCAAAGAACAGAAGTTCTCTAGTTTATGGCTCCAGGAAGTTTTAGCTCCTGAGTTATTCATTTTTAGACCCTTAGGCAATTGCCCTTGGTAACAAGATGAGGGAAAGCTGAGGTACCCAAAGAGGAAAACAAACAAATACTACCTTGCAGTGAGTTTCTAGTCCTTGTCTTAGAGGCTAGAAAACAGAAGAGCAGAAAGTCTACTGTGACTCATCCAAAGTCACATTCCTGGGAAAAGCAGAAGCAGAACTTGAGGAGCTAGAATGACTTGGAAGCCCTTGTCACTGGACTGAAAGAAACATTTTTTGAAACAGGGTCTCGGGTAGCCTAGGCTGGTCTCAAATTCACATGTTGCCAAAGACTGTGTTCTAATGTGGTTTCTGTTGCTATGATAAACGCCATGACCAAAAATCAACCTGGGGAGGAAAGGGTTTCTTTTTTTTTTTTCCTTTCTTTCTTTCTTTCTTTCTTTCTTTCTTCTTTTTTTTAAATTAATTAATTTGTTTGCTTGTTTTTGAGACAGGGTCTTCCTATAGCCTGTTGGCCTGGAACTTACTTATGTAGACTAGGCTGGCCTTGAACTCAGAGATCCGCCTGCCTCTGCCTCCCCAGTGCTGGGATTAAAGGCGTGCACCACCATGCCCAGCTTGGAAGGGGTTTATTTCACTTTACACTTCCAAATAATAGTTCAAAATCAAAGGACCAAGGCAGAAACTGAAGACAGGAACTGATGCAGAGACTATAGAGGAATGCTGCGTACAAGCATGCTTCCCCTGGCTTGCTTAGCTACTTTTCTTATTCAGCCCAGGCCCACTTGCCCAGGGATGGCACTGCCCACAGTAGGCTGGGCCCTCTCACATCCATTAGCAATCAAGAGAATGCCCCCACAGACATGTCCACAGGCCAGTTTGACCGAGGTAGTTCCTCAGTTAGGGTCCCTCTTCCAAAGGACTCTACTTTGACAAAAACTAACCAGCACACTGTTAGTGGCAGCAGGACTGGAGCTAGAGCTCCACGCTGCCACCCATCAGTCTGAGAAGTTCTCCCAATCTTTTAGAGACCTTGACTCAGGTAAAACTAGGATTCATGGCTTCAACACAGAAAAGAATTTAGGACTGGCCAGTATGAAGCAGAGTTGCGGTTTTATTAAAAAGAGGGGTTGTGCTTGTAGCTTAGGTAGTGTGCTTGTGTTGCATGCATAAAGACTCCGGTTTGAGCCCCAGGATGGCACAAACCACACATGGTGGTGCACACCTGTAATCTCAGCACTTGAGAGGTGGAGGCAGAGATATCATAAATTCAATGTTACCTTTGAATTTGAGTTTGAGGCTGGTGTGAGATCCTGTCAGAAAGAAAGAAAAATAGAAAAAGGACGGGAAGAAGGAAGGGAGGGAAAGGAAGGAGCTCAAGAAAAGGAAAAAAAAAAAGCAGAACTAAGAGCATGATGCAGACTTCTCAAAGACTTGCCATTTACTAGACAGTATTTCCAAACAGATTTTAAGCACAGGAATTGAGAAAAAGGAGGAAAGAATAGGACATACTCAGATACGTGTGGACTTTTCAAAGGAGAGTAGTTAACAATCAAGTGTTTTTGTTTTCTTTTTTGTCTTTTTGAGACAGGGTCCCCCTGTAGCCCCAGCTGGCCCTGAACTCACAAAGATCTGCTTGCTTCTGCCTCTCCAGTGCTGGAACTAAAGGCGTGTGCCACCACGCCCAGCACAATCAAGCGCCTTAGCTTTAGACATATATATCAGTTTGGTGGCTCTCGTGTTAACTAAGACACCCCCTCCCATCATTTTCCCCTTTTCTCTCTTTTTGGTAAGTGAGATTGTAGGGTAGCTCTGGCTTGGATGAGATTATAATCTGATAAAACAAAACTGGGAGCCACTAGAGTTGCATAGTAGGTTTCTGGTGAGATACTGAGAACACTGTAGGTCTGCAGCTAGGAAGGAAGCCCTCAAGCAGTTACTTCTCCTGGGTAAGGGGAACCTGCAGAAGTCAGTGCTCCCCTTCCACTATGCAGGTCCGGAGATTAACTCAGGTCGTTAGGCTTGGTGGCAGGTGCCTGACCTGCTGAGCCATCTCGTATGCCCATCTTCAAATTTCTTGATTTAGAATCACCCCCTTGTCCCTCAAGAGTATTCTATCTTAAAGGTCCAACCCTTATATCCTTCGTGATTTTCAATGAGTGTCTTCTGTCCAGATTTTATACCCTTTTCCCCCAATCCTGGCAAACGCTTTGCCCAGAGGTCTGTCTTCTTGAGATTGCTTCTTTTGCCCATGCCTTGCTTCCTAACAAAGTAAACAGTTCTACAGTGTTATGGATAAAATAACATGAAGGAATAGTCAAACTTAGCCTTTTAAATTAGCAGTATCTGGGCTGGAAAGATGGCTCAGTGGTTCAGAGCACTGACTGCTCTTGTAGAGGACCCGGGTCTGATTCCCAGCACCCACGTGGCGGCTATGAACCACCCTTAACTCCAGTTTCAGGGGATTCTGAAGCCCTCTTCTGAGCTC